GCCGCAGCCGCGGTGGCGGCTTTTTGAGCGGCTGCTTGTGTAGTTTCGTAGTCCAGACGCACCGCAGAAAGTTGTTCATCGACGGATTCCGCCTTCGCCTTGGCCTGGCCCACCATGGTCGTCTGGGCAGCCAGTTCGGCTTCAGCTTCGGCCGCAGCTTGCGCAGCTCGGTCGGCCGTGGCCTGGGCAGCGTTCAAAGCTGCTGTGATCACTTGTACTTGATGCAGAGCTTGCTTGGCGCTGCTTCTCGCCGCGCTCGCGGCTCTTTCAGCCTGTTGCAGTTGCAATTTCTCATTGTCCACCGCCACGTGGGCGTCTTTGGCCTGTTGCTCCAATCCCTGCACCACGATCTGCTTGCCGGTGAGAGCCGCGGCCGCTGTAGCCGCCGACTGGGCTGCGGCCTGGGCTAATGTATTTTTCGCGACATACGCAGCCTGGCCGGCGGCCGTTTGTTGATTACTCAGCTGCGTGTGTGCCTGTTCAGCCGCGCCTTTCGCGATACTGGCCAAAGGACCTCCAACGCTTAGACCTGGATGTGAAAGCCCGCGGCCATGAGAGAGCGGACCCGGCGCTAGAACGGGAGCAGCCTCTGCGTAGGAAACAGGATCCGCGATTCCTAACTCTGGTTCAGCAGCGTACTCGTATTTGTATTCTGCTTGGCGGGGCTGGGCCTCCTTTTTGCTTGGACCACCGTGCGCCAGACAGACGCAGGCCAGGAATATCACAATCTTGTTCATGGCTTGGGTTTGCACAGTTATTCTTGTGGGTTATCGATCTTCTGTAACAAGGAAATTGCAGACTTTTAATTCGTATTTTGAAGAGTTTTATTTACCTCTGGATGCAGGGTTATTCGTCTGCTATTTCTAGTCTTTGGGACTTGGAGACTTTTAGATTTTCGGACTTTGATATTTTTGGATTTTGGGACTTTAGGATCTTAAAACTTTGGCACTTTTTGGAAACTGTGGATTTTGGCGAATTTTGAAATATTGGAATTATGGGACTTTTGAGATTTAAAGCTATAGGATTTTGGAGCTTTAGGATTATAGGATTCTAAAACTTTTGAACATTGAAACCTTGGAATTTCAAGCTTTGAAACTTCTTGACTTTTGAAATTTTGGAATCTAGAAATATTGTAACTTCGGTAATTTGTTTCATATCTGGAGACCTTGGGACTTTGAGATCTTAGGGTTTGGACTCCGCAACCTTGTGGTTTTGAAATAGTGCGTCACGACTGAAAAATGGTCGTTGTAAAAGTGGCTTTCAGAAATTTTGAAAGGTTTTAAGCCTTGAACATATAGTCACTTAGGTAAAAATGTACAAATGCAGAAACACAATGCTAGGTCAATATAAGCACATACTAGGACAAAAGTATCCTGCAATGGCACACAAAGGTTAAAAGGCAGAATTGCGTTGTAGTTATACAATGGTAGGAAAATGGCGAAGGACAGAGCTATGTGGGTGACTCCTACAGCTTTTTTCTGCAAATTCCTTCGCTGCATATTTGGAATTGAAAGTAGGTAATAGACATAATAGGTGGAGTATGCTTGCGTCTTTTCGTGCATTCCTGTTTCAAATGTACCTTTCACATTTTAGTCCGTATTAGTCATAGAATATAAATAAGGTTATGCAGCAGGGTTAGGTCTACTATATTATTCAAATGAAAATTCTTACAAAATTTATTAGCAATAAATTGGTCGGTATTATCTGGTTGAATTTTTAATGAATGGTTATTACTCTAATTGCTAAGGAACTATAATTCGTGATCTTTCAGAGATACTGCAAGATCACATTCTTGCAGATTATTAATGACGCACGTCTCCCTCCATTTCGGTGCAACTCTGTCGCAATTTTGCGGCTCAAAACTAAATTTCCAGTTCCGTCGCGGTCTGAAAAGCAATGCGTGCATATAAACATGCAATTATGTCGGTGTATGTAGATATTCGTTGCGTGTGACTCTGCAATATGACGCGGCCATGTTTGTCCGATCAGAAAACGTCTCTTAAACGTTTCTTTCAGCCATCATCATTTCATTATTTCATCATAAATAATCACAATTTTTAACATTCAATATTCCTATGAGGGTAACATTTGTATTAAAATAATTAAAAATTTTTATTGGTATTCAAGCTATGCGTGTTTTATGAAATTGTAGCTTTTTTAATTTTGTATTGAAGAAGAAATTGTGTGGAATTGTTTTGTATTTCCAAAAAATCATAAACTTTATAATTAATAAGAAGACTATAATTAAGTAGAAATAAAATACAAAATGGTTGACAGTCGCCTCAAGAATGTAATTAAAAACAGAAACAAGTATTAAATTTTATGTTTTATTTGTATGAATGAGTATAACAAAGGATTTATTCTTTTCAACAATTAATTGTGTTAAGAAAGTAGCATAATTAGCTGGAAACAAAAGGTGTAGATGGTTTAGATGACCTTGATTGTCACATTTATGTTTAACAGACACGGTGAATCATAATGTATGCAATGTGTAAATGAAAGTATACTGAAACATAATCCTTTGTAGTCGAATACTTTAGTATCGAATATAAATCTTGGCGTAAATGAATAATACCTTTTTACATGCACTCGTTACTTTGCACACTCACAATCCTAATTATAAATTAAACAAATAAAATTATAGAATTTACAGCAATTACCATTATAGAATAAATAAAGCTGTTTATTTAAATAAATATTTAACTACTGTTATTAATAAACAGTTATATAATTTGGTAATGTTTATAATATTTTAGTGAAAATTAACTATAATAGAAAACAATAAAAAGCATTAATTTATTAAACTTTCTATTATAAATCAGCTTGAATTTGACTAGTTGAAATTGATGTGTTAATTATAGAACTTGATATTAATAAAGAATTTTCATTTATTTAATTACTTATGTATACAATTTATCCAAACAAGTCATTTATATTTATAATAAATAGAATTTTATTTTTAATACGCTTTTAATTTGATTAAACCATTAGATAAGGATTAGATGATTAAAAGCGTAACTAGAAGAAATAGTAACCAGAAAAATATTTCTGTTTTTCCAAAAATAATTTCCAATAAAACAACCTTCTTCCACAACAACAAAACTCGTGAATTCCGTCATAAAAATATGAATAATAATGTTTAATAAAGCGAGATTATGTATAAAATTCAGCCGTACATTTTGGTACAAACGGTAGTTAAAATGTTAATAAACAAAATTTATTAATTAGTTTTTATTATTTATTATTTATATGTCAACTAGATACGTTAATATAAAAGAATAAAGTAGTATAAAAAAAAAACAAAATTATTTCGTATTATAGTGTGAATAATTGGGAATGTTTAAAATATTATTTTTCGGTGAAATATTTTTAGGCGGTCGTTAATCACGAAAGGGAATTATAAACGATTTATTGTTGCAAATTGTTAGTACTCACGTAGAGTGGAACCAGTCGGGCGTTTAAGGGACCAGTGTTCTTCAGGCTCGAGAAAACAACTAACTGATACCACTTACCTGATCATCGAAGCTCTTATAGGTCTGTATTCTAACGAAACGATAGTATAGTTGTTACGGAGGGGTTGGGGATACTGAGAATAACGACTAACTTGCTGTCTCCTATTTTTTTGGTGAGTTTCGGATTAAACATAATAAATTCACTGAAGAATTAATTTTATTGACAAATACATAATATATTAATTTTTTTACGGAAATTACAATTCTATCATTTTTATAAGGTAACAATTGTGTAATTTAAAAATTGTATTATTAAAAAGTTAATAATTATGCAATTTAGTAATTATAATTATAGTAAGTTAATAATTGTACAACTTAATAAATGTGCAATTTAATAATTGCAATTGTAATAACTCAATAATTGTGCAATTAAGTAAATGTATTTATAATAAGTTAATGATTGCACAATTTAATAATTGCAGTTGTAATACGTCAATAATTGTGCAATTAAGTAATTGTATTTATAGTAAGTTAATAATTGTGCAATTTAATAATTGCAATTATAAGAAGTTAATAATTGTGCAATTAAGTAACTGTATTTATAATAAGTCAATAATTGTGCAATTAAGTAATTGTATTTATAATAAGTTAATAATTGCACAATTTAATAATTGTGATTGTAATAAGTTAATGATTGTGCAATTTAATAATTGCAATAATTACTTTTTAGTAAATGTAACTATAATAAGTTAATAATTGCATTCAATAATTGTAATAATTGCGATTTAATAAATATAACGATAATAAATCAATAACTATAATCATTGTATTAAAAAATTGTAACAATTGTATTTAATAACTGTAATAATTACGGCTTAATACTTTTAATGAATTCCAATTAATTAACAATTGTAAATCTCAAGTGAAATTTAATAATTTTAATAAACCCCCCAAAACAAGTAGCACTATTAATCTCTTAACTGCCACATAACCACATTACAGTTTCAAATAAATACATTAATTATTCATCATAATTTATAATTAACTAAATTAATTATCATAAATAATAATTAATTATTACAAATAATGATTAACTACATTTCTTGAAATACGATAATAGTATAAAAATTTTAAACAACACTGTATAATTTTACACTCTCGATTCGATACAACCGCGTTTCACTCGTTTCTTTTGTCAATGTGTGTCTACGCATCGTATTAATTAAAAATTATATTCTACCCTCATTAACTCTATGATGATTTATACGAATTACAACCCCGCATTGACCTAAATCGTATAATATCAGAATGTATATTTTTTACATTCTATACATCGGTGAGTATTTATTAAGAAACTTACTAAATTCTCTTTCGTTCTAACCAAATTTTTTTCCTGCAGCATTATTGACCTTCGAAAGTTTTGACTGTGGAAGAGTTCATAAAGTTCCAGTTACTTTAGTAAGTTTAATCGATTATTGATTAACGAGGTATCATAATCGTGACGCTTTCGTAGAATCAAAGAGAAGTGCGATACGTTGACGGTCCAAATTGCGCTAACGGCGGATCTAGTGGTAATCACAAGAAACCTGGTGAAAAAAGTAGTGTGTTAGCACAGAAAGCTGCGCAAGAAGCTAAAGCGGCCTCTGAGGCTCAGAATATTGCTGGACAGCAAGCTGCTCGTCAAGTACTCATCGCATTTTTTAATTATAAATATAAAAACGTCAGATCAGATTGCGAGGATGTTCGGGCTTCCCCAAAATGTTGTGTGCAAAACATAATTTATACGTTAAAAGGAATTTCTATAGCGTAAAAAATTTGTTCACGAGTTGGATTTTGGTGTTTTAACTTTTTGACATGGAAATTGGAGACTTTGGAATTTTGAAAATTTTGTAATTTAAAAATTTCCAATTTTATAACTTTGCAATCTTAGATTTTCGGAATTTTGGGGATTTGGGGATTTAGGAATTTGGTGATTTAAGGATTTAGGGATTTAGGGATTTGAGAATTTGGAAATTTAGGGATTTAGGGATTTGGAGATTTGGTGATTTAGGGATTTAGGGATTTAGGGATTTAGGGATTTAGGGATTTAGGGATTTTGGGATTTTGGAATTTGGGGATTTAGAGATTTGGGAATTTGATGATTTTTGTATTTGGGGTTTAGAGATTTTAGGATTTGGAAATTTGAGAATTTAGAGATTGGAGGATTTATAGATTTGGGGATTTGGGGATTTGAGAATTTAGGGATTTAGGGATTTAGGGATTTGGGGTTTTGGGGATTGAGGAATTTAGAGATTTAGGGTGTTGGACATTTGGAGATTAAGGAATTTAGGGATTTGGAGATTTAGGAATCTAGGGATTTGAGGATTTGGGGATTTGGGGATTTGGGAATTTAGGGATTTAGGGATTTAGGGATTTGGGGATTTGGAGATTTAGGAATTTAAGAATCTAGGGACTCAGGTATATAGGAATTTGAGAATATAGAAATTGAAAAATTAGGTAATTTGAAAATCTAGTATTTTGAAAGTTCGTAGCCTTAAAAATTTGGGACTTTGTAAGTTTGAGAGCTTTTTAATCTTAAGATTTAAGAATTTTTGAATTATGTAGTCACGGAATTGGGGGATTTATGAATTTCAGGATATAGAATTTGAGAATATAGAGATTTGAAAATTAGATAATTTGAAAATGAAAGATTCTGTCATTTTGACATCTTAAACATTTTTAATTGTAGAACTTTGAAAAATAATTCTACGTATCAATATATCTAATAAATACAAATAAAAATTTACAAAAAATTACCATTTTGGAAAGTGTGCCCACATAATAGTTTGAGAACCTTTATCTGTTACACAAAATGGGGGAAGTCCCATGTCCTTGACTATCTCTTCGATATTGAAGTACAACAAATCTTAAAATATTCTATGTATTCTACAAATGATATAAATAATGTAAACATACAATTTAACAGGTAAAAACGCAACTTGCCGAAAAGGCAGTGCAGGCTGCGAAAGCTGCACAGGATGTACTAACAAGAAAGAAATTAATAGTGGAGCAATTACAAGAAGAAGTGAGAGAGGCTCAATCGGTAGTTCAAGAAGAATCCTCGTCTTTACAACAAGAACAATCTAACCTGAATGCTGCTATGCAAGCTGCGAGGCAGTCTCAAGATCAGGTGACATTATTCAATTGAATCAGTAGAAGTAGAACAAAAAACTGTTCTCGTTACGCCGATTCAGGCACTTTTACTTTTCTAACATGTATATTGTATTATTCACACACTTTTTGCGTTTTCTTATGAACTATCGACATTAAAAACCTAGTTAATTCAATATCGAAAATGAAATACCTTGTTGGTATGTTACAGGTTACCTTTGATGAAAATTGTATAATATTTATTTGTTTAATTAATTAATGACGCGTGTGTTTATTCTTTCATTTTATTTGTTTATTTATTTACTTATTTCTTAATTTAGTTACTTATTTATTCACTTATTTGGCCATTCATTATTTGTTTTTTTACTTATTCGCTCATTTATTATTTGTTCAGTCATTTACTACTTTATTTACATATTTTACCATTTACTTATTTACCTATATGTTCAATCATTTATTTAATGTGCAGAGATATTTTTGTGAATGTCACAACATAATCAGTTTATTTTTCTTTCATTGTAACATTTGTTACAAAATTTTAATATTGTACCAAACCTCTTTATCAGAGGTCCTCTTAAAGTACTAGGTTGGTACTACACGTAACCTAACCTAATGTATACGTAACCTAACATACAACTCTGAAAAATCTCTCAAACAAAATTATTTGAAAGAAGTATATTAACTTAATTTCCTTTAGCAATATTTAAAAATTTATATTAACAACATTCTCTAAAAAAAAATGCAATATTTTGTACTAAATTATATATATCATTACTTTCATATTTTTACGAGAGTTCCACAAAAGCAATTGAATAATCCTTTCAAGTAATTTATTAAAACATTCATGCAAAACTGCAAAATACTTTACACTAATAATATTTTAATTAAAAGAAAAAAAATTTAACCTAACCTATTTTTAAGGGATTCCCCAAACGATCTGCCAATTTTAATAAATTCAATTGTTTACAATAGTAAAAGTGGTCGATAATTTTAAAAGGAAGGTAAAATTCTAACAATCGAATAAGTTCGATAGAATAAATATATATGCAAATACTTTCATAGAAACTGAGTTCCTTTATGAATCATTATGTTATTTCTGTACGTAACGTCCTTACGAGCTATCCGGCACCATTCTCAACGTTCGAAGGAAAAATACACAACACTCGTCGAAGTCGATTACCTTACTTTTCTTTCTCCTCTGATTTATTTGTACAGTTAAAGACGCTAACGCACGCCGTGCAAACGGCCAAAGCGAATGCTGCGAACGCTCAAGCTGCCGCAAATGGAGCACAAAAATCTATGAGGGACAAAGAGGATTTGGTGGAAGCAGCCAAAAGACGGGTCGAAGAACTGTCGAATCAGCTGAGAATGGCTAGACAGGAACTTGCCAATACCAATAGAGCGGCTGCTAAAGCGAGCGCCGCTGCCACAGAGGCGAAAGCCAATGCCAATAGAAACAAAAGACGACTGGAGAATATTCGGAGAACTAGACACATGAAACGGTGATTTTATACATATTATAAACTGTTATTTTTTACCTTTCTTTTTTGGATTTGTAATTTTAGGGTTACTTGTAACGATAATTATATGATATTGCATTTTAGGTTGATTTGGAGATGTGTTTGGAGATGATTTCCAAACTTTAGGATTACTAAACTTTAAATTTTCAAAGTTCCAAAATTCTGAATCTTTAAATTTTAGAATTTCTTACTTTCCAAATTTTTAAGTTGCTCAGACTCTAAATTTTTAATTTTCAAAACTTCTAAACCCTCAAATCTCCAAATCTCCAAATTTTGAAATTTCCAAATTTCCAAACTTCCAAGTTTCCAAATTTTCAAATTTCCAAATTTCCAAATTTCCGAATTTCCAAATTTCCGAATTTCCGAATTTCCAAGTTTCCAAGTTTCCAAGTTTCCAAATTTCCAAATTTCCAAATTTTCAAATTTCCAAATTTCCAAATTTCCGAATTTCCAAATTTCCGAATTTCCGAATTTCCAAGTTTCCAAGTTTCCAAGTTTCCAAATTTCCAAATTTCCAAATTTTCAAATTTCCAAATTTCCAAATTTCCGAATTTCCAAATTTCCGAATTTCCGAATTTCCAAGTTTCCAAGTTGCTAAATTTCCAAATTTCCAAATTTCCAAATTTCCAAACTTCCGAATTTCCGAATTTCCGAATTTCCAAGTTTCCAAGTTTCAAAATTTTCAAATTTCCAAATTTCCGAATTTCCACATTTCCGAATTTCCAAGTTTCCAAATTTCCAAATTTCCAAATTTTCAAATTTTCAAATTTTCAAATTTTCAAATTTCTGAATTACTAAATTACTAAATTATTAAGTTACTAAATTTCCAAATTTCCAAATTTCCAAATTTTTTAATTTTCAAATTTCCAATTCTCCAAATTTCTAAATTTCTAAATGTCTAAATTTCTTAACCATTAAATTTTTTAATTTCTGTTTTCCAATTTTAAATCTACAAATTTACCAATCCATAAATAAGTTACTTGCAATTAATATACATACATTATCAGTAAATTATTATCAATATGACCGGTATTTCAATGTTATTAGTAAATATTGATATCTCTAGAACATCAACAGTATACATTAATCCCGAACTCTCCATTTTGTATATCAAGTGGCCATTTTGAAACCCACAAATAGCACCCACATATCATCTTAAAATTTAAAGCTTGATAACGGTGTCTACATAAACGTTTTATCACTATTAATGATAAAAAACAATCTCCCAAACATTATAATCAAATAAAACTTACTCATACAAACATAATAATTACATTAATTTATATATTTTACAGATGCGTGCATAATTGAGAGAGGATCAGTGAGAAGAAGAATATAAATATTATATTGTACTTACTAAATAGATGTAAATCAATTGATAGCGATACTAATATATATGCAGATTTGAGCAGCAGACATACAGGGTGTTTCCCGACAGTTTCTTTTATTTTCTACTTCCTAGCAAAGGGTCATTACGTCAATAATCTTTTATCGGTGGGCGCTTTCAGTCACGTTCACTGACATTTACATGGAAACCGTGACTTACCAATACTAAGGCGTCGTTATGCTTCAGCGAACTGAGTCCTTTCTAGATCAAAATGCAATGACGCACTTGCACGGTGATCGTACAAAACTGACTAGCCATTTTCAATGCAGAAAAAAATTATGTGTTCATTGATCGTGATTCTTTGCCATTTGAAACGTATAACTTGCATATCAATAAATTGACTTCGTACATTTCTCATTTTTTTAAATAATATAATAGCTATTTACTATTGTGTGCACTTTGTACTAACGATAGAAAGATTGTTTTATTATTTACATAAATAAATTGTTGTAAGAATTATCGTGCATTCGGAACAGAATATTTTTAAGGCGAAAATAAAATGTGCACCATTATTTTTCTTTTGATTGGTTCTTCTATAATGGAAATGCACAATATTTTATTCTTTTCTAGGAGATTCTTTAGAACATTTTAAATAAAAAGGTGTTATGGTACAATGCTGTCAAAGTGAATGATTCGAGAGACATTTGAAGTTTTCACATAATGTTTTTTAAATTCATATTAATTCGCGCGCTGAGAACAGCGCATGCGTCACCTGGCTGCGCACTTCGAAAAAGGAGGAGGTTACTCAATTCGATTAGTATATATATATATTTTTTTTTCTATGTATGTTCGCCGATTACGCCTAGCTGGATGGACCGATCGGAATGAAACCTTTTGCATCTGGTAGGTTCTGACTCCTCATTAGTACCATTATCAAAATATTTTTCATTTTTTAATTGCAAAGTATTGTTATTGCAAAAAAACCGGCAACTTTTGAAATAAACTTTTCTCGATTTTAGTGCGCTTTTAATATCTTATCACGGACATGATTCTGAACAATTTTGTTCATATAAAAATTTCACGGAAAGCTTTAGTTTTCGAGATATTAGCGAAAAATTGTTGTTAACTTTTGAAACCAACTTCGAACGATTTTTATGTCGTTCTAATACGTTATTAGTGGCATGATTCTGAACGAGTTTTTCCTTATGCATAATTGACGGTAAACTTTAGTTTTCGTGATATTAGCGAAAAACTATCGTTATTAATATTAGTGGAACGCCTCGTACTATGCACGAGAAAGACAAGAAAGTGCAATTACAATGCACTGTACCAAAACACTAACTAATCTTTACCGCTTTGACACGCGACTTATGCAGCAAAATGAGTTCACGTTGAGGTTGGTGTATTATTCCCATTGCTTGGTACAGTCTCCGTATCGTTCTAAAAATGCATCAATTTGATTTGTTAGAAAATTTGTTGCGCAGGATCTGCTATTATTTTACGGATACTTTGATCCTTGCGCAGTCCTAAACCGTAAGAGATACACATGCGCAGTAAATTTTTGCAAAGAAAGTTAACAAAGAATAAATGGATGAAGCACCCTCAATCCTGATGTAATTAGTTTGTACTTGTCCCTGAAAAAGTGTCACTTATTTTTTTTCTATGCATATTCGCCGGTTTTTTCCTAGGTGGGTGGTCCGAACGGAACAAGGCCTTTCGCATCTTGTAGAGTCTGACTCCCCATTGGTACCATTACCAAAAAT